CCACATGGAACAACAGACTTCTCCTGTTTCACCTGCTGCTCCCCTCAGCAGTGTACTTCAAAGATCTGCCTGTTCTGCTCCCCACTCTGTTTCTGGTGAATCCTCTAACTGCCCCTGCACCTCTGTTCTGTACCCCATTTCTGTATGCATAAATAAATAAAATCTTTAACAAAAAATAAAAAAAAAATCACAAGAATTCTTGAAGGACAAATGAAACAACACATTTCAAAATGCCCTCGCCTGCTTCCCTGCCACCTGGCTGGCCCACTGCAGTCACAACTTCAGTAGAGGGTGTAGTTGATCTGGCACCCAGGTCATGAGGTCTCCGCTCACCTCCAGGCTCACACAAGCATGGCATGAAGCTATAAGCTCTGCGACTTTTTATCTGGGCTAAACTTTGTGGCCGAAGTATCGGCAGGTAAAGGGAGTAAAGACTTACTTTCCTTGTTATTGTATACTTCGAAACGAAGATAGTCTTCTAATTCCTGGCGCTTACTGGGATCAGACATAAATTTGCGGTATTTGCAAAAGCTCCGGATGAAGCTGATCAATTTCAGCCACCATTTTTTCTGAGGAAAGAGATAGAGGTATGTTATATTCATTAGTCTGGCTCTCTTCACTGAGGGTCTGTTTTGTGTCAGAAACTTGACATTCCTTACATGTAACCCTACACTACTACTATCACAAGAAGGAATCATTGCTAGCTCTACTTTAAAGGTGAGGAAACTTAGGTCAGAGTACTTGTATAACTTTCCACAGATCAAACATCTGGTGGGTAGAAGATTCTAGCTGAGTCATGTATGGTTGTGGTCAGATTTTTCAGCAGTGGAGATGTGAGATGATGTGATTGTAGGAGGCAGCTTGAGTGCTAAAAACAGGAAGAACCAGATGCCACAGATGTATCCATTCTCACAGGAAATAAATGATGGCTCAGGCACAGTAATTTGAAATGTCGAAGGCATAAAGAGATAAGTAAAACCATGTCTAATGTTTGAAGAAAAATAAAACTGCATGCAAGATGCACATGCCACACACACACAAACAACATGCATAAACACACATACATGAATTCATTTGTGTTTCTTAACACAGATTCCCAGTGACCATTCCCTAGTCATTTAACCCCTTGAAAAAACATAGTGTGTAGAGATAGAAGGAATCTTGCTGACCTGGTTCAGGTCTCCCATCTACAGGAAGGAGCATCAATCTCAGCATGGATTTAAAGTCGGTGCTCAGGTGCAAAAGATACTGGATTTGAGATCAGAAACTTTGAATCTGGAATGTAATTTCTCCCTAATTTTGTAATTTGTGTCAATTTACTTAGTCTGCATGTCATTGTTTTCTGTGTATAAGGTAGAAAAACAACTGTTTTCATGATTGTCATGAACAGGCCAGAGGCTCAGGGGCGGCGAGAGACTTCACCAGAGACATAGTGGGGAGCAGAACAGGCAGATCGACGAAGTACCCTGCTGAGGGGAGCAGCGGGCGGGTCAGGAGAGGTCTGCCACGCCATGTGGATCTCCTCCGGGGCAGGCGGGGATTGAACTCATGAGGAAGTGGCTTTAGCTTCTTAGTGTTGTGCTTTAACCCACTGCACCACCAGGGAGGGCTGCTGGCTTCTTTTTTTAAAAAAAAGATTTTATTATTTATTTATGCATACAAGAACTGGGGTACAGGACAGAGGTGTTGAGGGTTAAAGGGTTCACCACACACAGAGTGAGGAGCAGAACAGGCAGATTAACAAAATACACTGCTGAGGGGAGCAGCAGGTGAGACAGGAAAGGTCTGCTGTGCCTTGTGGGTCACCTCCTGTGTCTGGGATCGAACTTGTGTTGCAGTGGCTATGGATAGCTTCATAGTGTTGTACTTTCACCCCTCCTGCCACCAGGAAGGGCCCCACATTGGCTTCTTTTTATCATTTCTTATTTAATAACAACTGGAAGACATGAAATTAAAATGAAGTTTTCTGGTTCCAGATTTGGTATTCCTTAGAAATCCTACATGGATAAAATTTTAAATAATGGTACCCTGACATGGAGTTCATTCAGGTATGGAAGATACAGAGCAGAGAAAGAGGGAAGTCCTGTGTTTTCATATCTGGACTAGTGGAGTACAGGCCTGGGTGTAACTTGCAGAGTTCTCAAAACATCATCTTGACAGTCAGAAAGGATTGGGCTTGAAGTGTACTGATAATACAAGCAATCCTATAACACAATGAACAAATGATTATATGGGGAATTTGTATTCTTTCTCCGAACTTTTTTTTTTTTTTAAAAACTTTATTTATTTGTGCATACAGAACTGGGGTACAGGCCAGAGGCTCAGGGGCGGCGAGAGACTTCACCAGAGACATAGTGGGGAGCAGAACAGGCAGATCGACGAAGTACCCTGCTGAGGGGAGCAGTGGGCGGGTCAGGAGAGGTCTGCCTCGCCATGTGGTCTCCTCCGGGGCAGGCGGGGATTGAACTCATGAGGAAGTGGCTTTAGCTTCTTAGTGCTGTGCTTTAACCCACTGCACCACCAGGAAGGGCCCTTTCTCCAAACTTTTAAGGAGACTTCCCTAAATAGGATTCCTCTTTTCCCACTTCCCTCTTTCTTTGGGAGAAAGAAGACATTAGATAATTGATGAATTTGGAAACCAGAAATGGGCATACTCTCTGGTCATCCCATGGCATTCCCTCTGGGAGCTGCTGGCCTGCAAGATTCCTCTGTTTGGGCTGGACCTTTGTTATACTGCAAGAATCTCACAGAACAGAACGCTCCCTGGGGGACTGGAGGCATTAAGGTGCAGCACTCTGAAGCTCTTCCCAGCCACTGCGTCAGGAGTTTGATTCCCAGCCAGGGAAGTGACCCACATGGTACAGCAGACCTCTCCTGTCTCTCCTGCTGCTCCCCTCAGCAGTGTATATCAGTAGATCTCTCTGTTCTGTTTCCCACTTTGTCTCTGGTTAATAATTTCAATTCCTTCATCTGGCCTACACCCCAGCTCTTGGATGCATAAATAAATAAATCTTAAAAAAATTACCATATAGGGCCCTCCTATATTAAATCTTTAAAAAATAATAACAATATAAACAAATAAGACATTCTCTCTCTAAAAAAGAAGAAGCAGCTCACAGAGTAAGTGGAGGCCTAATAGTTCCATTGTGATAATGACCAGGTGTGAGTAAATTTTAACTGGGTGCAGAGGTGATCAAATCCATTGGCTTCATGGCATGTCCTATAGATTGGCCTTGAGCAATGTAACTGATAATTTTGATCTTCATGTACCTGAACCCCGTGACGAGTAATTGCTTCTAAACATAATAAAGATAAAGATTTTCTTAAATTCCTACATAACATTTTCTCTGAGACTCAGATTTTTCCTTTATAAAAGGGAAATATAAAAACCTACCCCTAAAAGTAGTTGCTGTAGTAAATAAATAAGCTAACAGTGAAATCTGCTGTATATGGTCAATGATACCTAGTGGTTTCCTTGTCCCCCAAATCTTGTCCTCACTGTCTCCCTCACTGACCTGGGATTTATGGAGGTGAGACACTACCATCTTTGAGGGTTTCTTCAGTGGAAGTTTTATTTCATGTTGTACCTCTGGAGGCTGAGGTGGGAATAAGTCTTGGTATTCTTTAAACCTGCCAGATTAAAGTTACAGGCATAGCAGAATAAAAGACTATAGGAACCCTTCCCTCAAAGACAACCAGAAACCAGATACATTTGTCATACAATTCATTTTAACATATCATCAGAACATAACTGATTGTCCCTATACATCTGCATTTTTGAAGGTGGGTAGCCCACAAAGTTGGCAGAATTGTGATGGGGGCCATAATGGGTCATAAATGCAGCAGTACCACTCAGTGGGCCAAACTGGGAGAGGGCAGAGATATTAGGGACACCCAGGACCCTAGCGAGCTCCATTGTAGAGGTGACAATCGACAGACACTAAGAAGGTTCGAGATGGATTTGCCCTCTTTTGTAGGACTGCTGTGGCGATGGGTTATAAGAGAATGGGCTGTAAGCTGCCGAGTAATGTGACTTGCAGAAGCCAATGAGATTCTCTAGAAAGAATCACTGCCTTCACCAAGCAATACTTACCACCTTTCTTCCAGAGATTTCATGACATAGTTCTGGAGCATAAACAATGTGGTTATGCTGATGCTTCGCATTTGAGCAATTTCTTTGACAAAAGGGATATTGCATTGCAGCATTTCTTCTAAAAAGTGCAAGAGAGAAATAAAAATTGTCTATCATCTGAGGAAACTGAAAATTTCTGTCCTTAGAGTCTTACCATCCTTTCTTCTCAATCTGTGTAGATACTGAGTTTTCCACATTGCTTGGAAATCTCAAAAGTCTATTTGGATTGTTATGTGCAAATATTATCCTGGGTTAGTTCTATTAAAATGTCAAAAATTACTGTGTAAGGGGAAACACTTCTATCTCATTCAGAAGTGTACAGAACTTGCTATCTTGAGGCCTAGCAAATTAGTATTTCCTACAGGATTTATTGAATTTACCTCTTATTTATCTTTCATTAGATTTAGAGCTTTATCTTGATTTGACATAAGTAAGCAGCAAACCCAGGAACACCTCCAACTATCTGTTTCATCTGTGCCTAAATAGGAGGCTTTCATTGTGTTGCTAGAGAGTTATTTAACTCAAGAATGGGGTAATGCTAACCCCTTTTGGTTTGCCCCAGAATTGTAAAGATCAGTGACTTTACTTGAAACATCTGCTCTGGTCAAGATGAAATTACATGGATCAAAATCACCCAAGACAACAAGACAAAATTTATGAAACAAAGATCTTTCAGTGAGACAGTTCTTCTCAGTACAACTCTCTACAACCCTACAGTGGTGGACACGAATCCGGCATACTACCAGTTTGCATTTGTATTTAACTCCAATCTAGTTGATTTGAGGGTCAAGTAACTTGAGTTTGAATGCCCATTCCACCAATTGGACAAGCTAGTTAACTTCTCTTTGATTCACCTTCCACATTAGTCAAATGGAGTGCATAGGGAGTAACTCGGGGTTGAAAAAAGGTAAATGAGGATATATTTCATAGAGAAGTACCAGTGTCTTACACTGGCTTCTTTTACTGCTATTATTCTTTGCGTTTTGTTGTTTCTGCTGTCTGCTTTCACTCTCCCTCTCAATCTTTATTCCTCTCTCAATACTGACCCAAGTGGTCACTGCTATTCTTGTGTTTTGGGGGCTCACATGAGATAAGCACTTGGCAGTTGCCTAAGGTACTAATGGGAGAAAGAAACACAAGAAAAGCATGCATACCAGGAGGAACTTTGCTATGGAAGAAAGTCCTGATTATACTTTCAAGGAGAGACTTGTGAGCCTTTTCGTTTTTCTCTGTACTGATCCTGTGCATGGCTATCAGGAATAGCAGTGGAGTTTCTTCCTTCCGTTCTCTGAGAAACTCCCTGAAGAACTCCAAGTGGTTTGTATTTGTGAAAATTTCTTCCATGTTTCTGGAAAATAAGAAAGAATCCTTGATAGCAAGTAAAAGATAATGATCCTGGATTCTCCTCCAGCTAGGGAAGGTCATCCTCAGGCTGTGTGTGGGGTCTTTAGCCACGTAAGCAGAACAGGGTGGCTGGATCAGTCCATCTGCTCATCTCCTTGGAGAGAGGATTATGTGTCATCCTAAGCTTGGTCCAGTCATTTGACAACACAGTGGAGGAGAATGAGAGATATTTTAAAGGGGATGATTGTTTTTCAGTGGTGTCCTCTTTTTACATGATGGATTCAAAACAACTCCAAATTAGTGACACAAAATATGATTGATTAACTGTTATAGATCAGTTCTTTAAAGTTCCCTACTAATTTTTTCTGTCACTGCTCCTTAAACAATAGGTACTCCTAATGTTTCACCCTTAGTCCTCTCTAATTTTTCCTTATAATTATTTTCCCCAGACAGTCTCTGTCTCCACTAAACTTTGTTTCATTTACACAGTAAAAGTAGCTCTAGCTCCCATGAGTTCCACTTCCAACTGCCCTTTGAACTTTATCTTTATGTCACTTGCACCCACAAGTCATTGAAATCTCTCCACACACACCTACAACCTCCCCACCCTACCAATTTCATTATGTGTGATATTAGCTACAGGGTTTTTAAGTAGATGCCTTTCTATTTTAATGATGAGAATTTTTATCATGAATGGATTTTGGACTTTGTAAAATCTTTTTATGCATCAATTGAGATAATCATGTAGAATCTCCCCCTTATTTTAGGAATATTGTATTAATTGATTTTTTAATATTAAATTAAACTCGCACCCCAAATACATCTCATTTGGTCACGCTGTCAAACACTTTGTACATGTTATGCAACTTGGTTTGCTAGTATTTGCTAAGGGTTCCTATAGTTGGACCCATGGGGCAGATTGGTATGTAATTTTCTTTTCCTATGGTACTTTGTTTGGCTTTGGGATGAGGAGTTAGTAAGCAAATGCTCCTTCCCCCTCTATGTCCTCAGCAAGTTCTTAGAATATTGGCATTATTTATTCTGTAAATGTATCTTGGATATGTATCTCCAGTAAATTAAAATTTTAACAGATTTTTTTCTGTTAAAAGATTTTAAATTTCTCATTCATTTCCTTCTATGTTATAGATTTATCCATATTTTTTATTTCTTGAGACAGTTTCACAAATCTTGGTATTTCTGCAAATGTATTAGTTCATTGAAGCTCCTTATTTGTCCCTTGAATTTACTTATAACCTTAATTTTTGTTTAAAGTCAGTGGTTATATCCTCTCTTTTGATCCATATTTTGATTCTCTGCACATCTCACTTTTTACCCTTGTCAATATAGCGAATGGTTTATCAATATTTTGATCATTACAAAAAACGCTCTTGTCTGCCTGCATTTCCTCTATTTTTTTCTCTTTTATTGATTTCCTCAGTAATACCCATTTTGATTTCATTCTACTCCCTTTGAGTTTAGCTTGAATTTATTGTTCACCAGTTTTCATCACTGTTATTTCTGATGTGAAGTTAGCTTTATTTTTATACATACCTTGGATATAAGAAGTCCTCCTTGTATGATATTTAAGACATTTTTTTCTTCCTCACAACAGCTGACTACTAAGTGTGGCTCTCCAGTTGTGAGCTCAGACTAATTAGGATTCGTTAAACATCTTATATGTTTGTCAATTAACTTGAGAAATATTCAACTATTTTGTACTTATTCAAAACAAGTTTTTGCCCTCATACTCTCTTTCCTCTCCTTCTGGAACTCCAATTATTTGCATATTGGTGCTCTTTATGGTATCCCACAGGTCCAAGCTTCTATTTTTAGGTCCTTATTATTCTTTTCTTTAGACTGGGTAATAACAATTGAGCTATTTTAAAATTAATTGATTCTGACAACTCAGATCTCTGTAGTTGGTTCTCTAATGAATTTTTCATTTTAATTATTGAATTTTCAATATTTTTGAAAATTTTTATTTGGTTATATTTTATAATTTTTGTCTCATTATTGAGGTTCTGCATTTAATTAATAATTATCATCATCACACTTTCTTTTATTTCCTTAAACATGGCTTCCTTCTGTTTAGAAGTCTTTGTGAGTCCAGTAATTAAGTCATCTCTGGAACAGTCTATTGCTGCATCCCCTGCCTCCCTCATACCTGTGGGCATTTGGGGGAGGGAAGAGGTGACAATTTAAACTGGTATTTTGGATAATATAATTTATTGGGTTCTAAAATTTCTTTGATAGTCTTGTCCAGTTTTATCATTGCTTTAATGGTGAGATAGTGTGTGATGTTCTTATGCCATCAGCTAAGTGGTTGTTTCTTCCTCTCTGAGGGTTTTAAATTCTATACCCTCTGCCACTTCTATCACCACTGTCTACTTCAGGCCTTTAGTATCATTTGCCCAAACAACTGAAAAAAAATTTTAACTATTAATTATGCCTTCCGTTTAGGTTCTGATTCATTAGACAACCATTTTCATTTCTTCCAGAGTTATATTTTTAAATTCATATGATATGTACTTCACTAGTCCTATTCCAGCAAACCCAAATAAATGTTCATTGTGGTTTAATGAATACAAATTCCTTAGCAATTCCCTCAAGACCTTCTTGTAGTTATTTGGTCTCAATCTTCATTTCTAATCTTGTGTTTTATGTCCCCTCACTCCATATGTTCTGTGTGTAATGTAACTGGACTGTTTTCAAGCCTTTAAATACTACTTTCATGTTTGCAAGTTTAAATCATAGCAACACTTCTTCACCTTCAAAGGGTAAGTCAGACCACAAATATTTACATTTATTTGCAGTTGAGTTCTTACATATAGTTTATGGCCTTTCTGATCCTCAAACTTATACCAATCTTTCCTCAGATTTCCCTTTTCTTTCCACTATACTTTCATAGTAATTAACAATATTTTATTAAAACTTTTTAAGATTAGCTTTGTGTTTATTTGATTATATTAGATTAGGGGCAAGTATTATATCTTTTATTTTGTGTCATTAGCATCTGAAACATGTCTGGGACACAAATGATCAATAGTTTTTTATTACATTGAAACCAGGTTAAGGAAAAGGTTAAGAGAATTAAAACTGGAATTTCCCTGGGCCATTTTATTGTGGGCATAACGGAGGACATGAAACTAGACTAAATGATCCTGCATATTCCCTCTAGAATTTAATGACCTTATGAATAAATGATTTAGAAAGACTTGACTTATGCTCATCTTGACTCTTTGGAAAATAAATATTTCTGTAAACATATTGGAGAGTGCTAAATAGCGAAAGAAATATTAAATGATTGAACATCACCGAATAATTCCATTTCTATGAAGAGAAGGAAGATCTAGACAGAATAGTTAGAAAAGAATAAGACTTATCAAGTTCAGAGACAGTTATAAGTAACAGAAATTAAAATTATAATTTTTTCTCAAAAAAGCTCTATCATTACCACCAATTTTTATGTTCTATTTATATGCAAATTTTCATATTGCTTGTCACTAAGATAAGTGCTTGGTATTATATTTTAGGGGCTTAGTGTTTTAGAACAGAGGAAGGACACAGCAGACAGTTGGAGAATTTCTAAGGTAGGTGGCATGTGTGCTAGGTGGAAAGAAAGAAGAGTGGGTGTTCCAGAAAGGCCCACGGCCTTTGCCAAGCAGTGAGACCTGCCAAGGCTGAATCTAGGATGATGATAAAGCAGGAACTTACGGTAAGTAAGGAACCAGCTGGAAGCCACTAAAGTAATATATAATTTGAAAAAACACATATAGATAAAATATGTCACCTCGCAAGGCAGCAGCACTGGGAGCAGCACAATAAGGAGAGACAAAGAACGAGTACTGAGAGACAGACCCAAGAGGGCTACGTCTCTGGCTGTGTGTGGCAGCCCCTTCCCCATGGCCCATCTCATATTTATTGGGGATCAGATACAGGGAAGGTGGGCAAGTATATGGAGGAATGTGCATGGTGGGGGTGTATATTAGGGATGCATAAATGCCTGGCACAAGCTAGGGGGTGTGAGTAGGGGCTGTTGTTTAGGGGGCTTCATTGTCACTGCTAATCCAAACATCCTATTTACACTTAACTTTCTGGCAAGGTGGTCTAGCTGGTTATGCTAATCTGGCCATAAAGTCTGCCTACTGTTTTCAGCAGATAATGGTTTTCTAGTATGTACTTCATAACGGGACTTAGGTCCTGGTGAGAGATCCCCTGTCTGACTCTTTTTTAGCTTAACCGGAAGGAACTTTGGGCACCAAGCAAAATCCCGAGAATAAGGGGGTTGGAGAACCCACAAAAATAGATGTGCAAAGATGCTTATTGTGGTATAATTTATAGTAATGAAAAGTAAAGGTAGTCTAAATGCCCATAAAAAAGATATAGTGAAATAAGTCATTCTGCATCCATACTCTGGAAAAAAGTAGACCTATACATACTAACATGAAAGGTTCTCCATGACAGTGTAAGTAAAATAATCATTCTGCATGACACCAAGTTTAGAGAATAAGTACTTATTTAAAATATAAAGTATCTATACATCTCTGTGTGATATATAAAAAAAGTCTGGAAATCTACATACAGAAAGATAAATTCAACATTAAACAAATTGAGAGTAAAGACAGCTTGTGTCTGGAAATGTTGCTACAGCCAGACTCTATATCTTACCCAGGTCTTGACGAGGGCTTCTTTATTTCACCCCTTTTGCCAAAGGATAGTTTCCTAGATGAGAGTGAAATTATCCTTGGTTCTTTGATAATTTCCACTGAAAAATCTAAAGAAAACAATCACAAATTTGGGGGGCACCATGTGAGAAAGAACATTGCAGAAAACAAGCAGGGCAAAGTAGCAGTCATCTAGCAGAAATTGAGTGCATGTGGAAAATTCAGTCTCACTACAACGGCTGCGACCTCAAACCTTTAGTAGTAAGAGACATAGGGATGATTACCACTCCTGACACTAATATCACTCCAAACATTGTTATCTAAGTCTATTAGTCATAAGGCCTAAAGCCCAACTTTCCAGAAGACGGTTGAGACAAGCTCATCCTACTTTTCCTTATCACATTGACATTAAATATTATCCCTTCCCAATTTTAACTGGGCCAGATGCCATCCTATCATATTCCTTATGACTTCCAGTCTTCCTTGAATCTCCTGTTAACCCATCCTACATCCTTCCACTTGCCCTCTGGAACTCATGCTTCATCATCATCAAACTCTCACAGATTCCCTATCACTTCATCAACTGAAATTTGCTTTAATTGAAACCACTCGTTTTTATGGTGACATTCTTCCATGGTAAGCTTCTTCTCAAATATTATTCTATCTCATACACAATTCAAAGTGTCTGTTTCCTGATTGCCATTTCAAAAGCATTATTTCAAAAATATAAATTAAACATTGTTATTGAAAAATAAAGATTTCAAAGATCTCAGTATTAGGGAGCCTGTGCAAGTTAACATTATAGAAGAAAATATAGAATGTCAGCTCATTCAGGACAGGGATTGTGTGTTAATCATCTCATCACCAGAAATTAAAACATAGTTTAATCTTCTAGTCAATGTTTTAAAATATTTATTAAGTAGAATATATTTTAGACCATCATTATGTGTTATGTCCCCAGAAAGTAGAAGACATGGGTCTGGAAACCAAAGGATGAAATTAAGAATGATTTATTTATCATTGGTATGAGGGACTTATTGAGGATAATTTCTAATCCTTAAACTTTAGCGTCTGTGGGTCTAGACCAGCACTCGCCAATAGAAATATGTCATGAACTTGACATATTTAAAAGAGCCAAAAGGAAAAACATAATTTGAACAATATATTTTATATAATTTATTTATGCTTGACACATTTCTGGTGCTCAGTGGCCACAGAGAACTTGTGGGCCTGTGTTGGACACAGAGGTCCTAAATCTTGGAATGCTTCTATCAGTCATCCCAAACTCCTTATGGCAAGGGGTCTCAGGCAAGCAAAAGAATCACTGTACTAGCAACAGATGGCTCATCAGGTCTCAGTTACACAGCAGAGGCAGAGAACTCCTTTGTTCTCCTCTTGGTATTCTACAGTCCAGTTCTGATGATAAATTAACAAGTGCATCAGCCAAGTTCAAGGGCTGTGTATCACAACCAAGGGTTCAGGTCCCATAGGGGTATCTAAGTCATGCTGTTAGATTTTCTCTTTCCCCCAAGACCTGCAGACACTTTAGCTGAGCATTGAGGGAATCTACAATAGATAGCAGAGAAGAGGAAGAAGAGCAGTTATTGTGGTCTCCAGATAAGCTTTAGTAGTGAGTATCTGCCTTCTTCATTTAAAATCCCTGAGGAAAGAAACTAGCCAGATTTCTTAAGGAGCTATTACAATTTCCATACAAAGCAAATGGATAGCAGTTGGTGCCTTCATACAAGCCTCAGATTCTCTCTTTAGGACCAAAGTATCCATTTCCCAGCTAGTGAAGTGATGGCTGTTTAGAGTTCATAGTTGACGCCTTCCTCTGGAAACTGCCTTGGCCAAAGGTTACATTCAACCCTAGGTTATATTGTCTCTAAGGGCAGCCACATCTATTACGTGTCAATGTGGAGGTGTATAAGTTCCTTGGAAGGGCCAAGTTCAATGGAAGGGCCATCTGTTAGAGCTGTTGAGACCTGTTGTAACTCCCTGATAGTTTTACATCTACCTTGACCCAACCCTGCTCTCCTCTCACCCTTAAAGGTGTTATTCCTAAGAACACACTCCAACATACCTCCTTTGACAACTCTGACTCCAGAAAACTTGGCAAAAAACAAATTTGAATTATTTTAAACCCCAGAGCTGTAACTAGGTAAGAAGGTAGGTGTTGACAATTTTCACTTATCTTATTCATTAATAATTGCATCTCACTTTCATAATACCCTTCTCATATTTAGTAGGAGAATAAGAGACGATTCTCTCTTAACCTTCCTGATTTTCAATGAATGTTTATTTCTCTTCTGGCTTATGCTTCTAGAGTTTTGAAATTTTTCTTTTATCTGATTATCTTAAACATACCTAAATTTAAGCACTTACCCACTTTAGGTGCTTTTTCACAATATATTTTGTAGTCATTGCTGATCTTCTCTATGGCCAACTTTGGATACTTATAGCAAAGCTCCTCAAAGGACATTTTCTCTATATCTATCAAGGAAGAAAAATGGATAGAATATAGTTGTCCATTATTGGTTCAAAGGTGAATGTACTTTTGTTGAGGTTACTGCCTTGGTTTAAATTTAAAATCACTAGGGTTTCGAACCCTCCCTGGTGGTGCAGCAGGTTAAATCATAGTGCTAAGAAGCTAAAGCCACTTGAGCATGAGTTTGATCCCTGCCCTGGAGGTGATCCACATGGTGCAGCAGACCTCTATGACCTGCCCACTGCACCCCTTAGCAGTGTACGTCATTGATCTGCCTGTTTTGCTCCCCATTCTGTGTTTGGTGAATCCTCTCACTACCCCTGTACCTCTGGCCTGTACCCCAGTTCTGTATGCATAAAAAAACAAATCTTTAAAAAAAATCACTAGTGTATTAACAGAATGTTTGCACAAGGAAGACAAGTTCCTATGTTTCCTTTCTCCTCAAGAATGGGAAGAATATTCCTTTTTTGGGAAAACCCAACCATGGAGAGATAGTCAGCATCTTTAAGAGATGCTAAAATAACTAAGATATCACTTTGAAAGATATACTGTTAAGTCATAAACAAGAAGTAACTCGTCCAAATAAATGTTGACCTCTTCAAAGCAGCCAACAGTTTGGAAGAAGAACTGCAAATGCATTTTGAACATTTGTCTATTCAAAGAATTTGATGCATTCAGGAATATTACATGCCAAGGAACATGCTACGGCCCTTCTCTCTTGGCTCTGTCTTTGGGAATTACTTTCAGAATTGATAACTCACATATCTGAGTATCATCAGTATGACATTAAAATCATATTCCAATGAGTTGTAGATTATTATCCTGTGAGAGTGAATAATGTTTTCTAGAAATAATGAGGCATTGTTTCTAGTCAAGCATAGTGAATTGAGAGGGGAAACTTTCTGTTTCCAAAATGAGGTGGGACAGTGAGACTGAGAGAGTAAGAGAAGTTTGAACTGGATACCAGCAATAGAAGGTACAGAACATCAGTACCTCACCACCACCAATGTGGAATCATGCATTCCTGTCATGCATTCCAGGATTTAGAGTAGTCTAACTAACACAGTTTTTCTGAAACTCTCCAGGGTATTCTAGTGGTGGATTCTTGAAGGAATATTGAGATGCAAAACAAAAATCTCAGTTGTCTTTATACCAGTGTTGTCAATGTCATCTTTATTATTTCTCAGCCAGGGAATTGTGAGCATAAGCAATAAGAGCAGTGGGTTGATCCTCTCAGGGTTGATCCTCTCAGCTTCCTCTACCATGTAACCTTGGGTAAATATTATAGTTTGGGCTTAGTTTATTTACCTGAAGCAGAGAGTATTGTAACCCAGTGAGCTTGTGGTGGGGTCATGGTCCCATGTGAGAGATACCTGGGAATCAGGACCACAACTTGTGAAATGCACAGAAGGTCCTTTATCTGGTCAGGCATGGGCTCCAAATAAGCACTAGTGGAGGAAGAAATGATAAGTGCTTGGGGGCGAGGAAGGCGTAGGGTAGGTCCTGCTCTTTCTGGTCACTGCCAGCAGCCCATGGCCACCACAGGAATGTCTGTTGTTTGGTGTTTATGTGGTGAAATATACTAGTCATCCTTCCCTCCATTTTTCTTTTGATTTATGAGAGGTAATTGTGGAATTTTCTGGATTAGAGAATAGGTGAACTCTTGAGATAGACAGAAGGGCTGTTCATACTAGATTTAAATAAATTGTGTCTAAGTATGACCAGGAAGGGCAAGCATCCAAGGCAGCATGACATCATAGTTTCAAAGAACTTATACACATTTGAATGTAATCTGAACTACACATATTGACTATTGCAGTACTCCAATCCTCTCACAGTCCTGCCAGTGTCTGCATTTCATATATAAGGAAATGAGTCTCGAGAAGTGAAATAACTTGTTCAAGCTCAGAGAGAGAGTGGTGGAACAGAATTTTCAAAACTTTTGCCTATT